ATTTGGATGCGCTCCTATCGTCTGGAAACTGTAGGAGTCTCGGACATGTGGTCATGTTTTCCTTAGTCTGAGGCATTGACAGGAGACTCCATCCATATTGCATGCTTTTAAGAGGGTATTTGTTACTCTGTCGATGTTCGGTTTATCAGGCACGTTAAAAATGATAACATTATGCGATCTAGGGACGCGTTCTTGCGTTTCGAATATAACTGAGTCTAGTAAGGAAGCAGCTGTCCTGTGTAACAGTTGCTGAACTTCTAAGCAGTTCATAGAATGATAGGATTTGTTCATAGTATGTGCTGAATTCATGAAGTTTACATTTCAGTGTGGATACTTCTTCCTTAAAGGCTATAATCCGGTCTGTCGTTTCAGTCGGAATTGTGCTAGTAAAGCTGGAGTGGTTTGCAGTTACATCCACCTTTTTTGGGATTCAGATGATGGACATCCCTTTTTTACAGTAATATCGGGTGGGTTTCTAGCAGTGCTATCGGAGGCTTTTACAGTATTTACTGTTTTCAACTTCAGCCTAAGGTGGGAGCTTCTCGTTTTCACATGTCTTCTCGTGTGACATCGCGACTTATTGCGGGTTGCAATATGCCTCTATATGCCCCATTGTGCTGCTGCCACCTTCAGGTAAACGCACTGAGATTCAGACAAGTCATCAAGGATGATTCCGGAACAACGGCAATACGATGTGACACCCAAATCGAAATGCTTTGGCACAGGTAGCATTCTAGGTACTGATGAATTTGTCCAGATATCCTAGCGGTCAGAATGAATGACCAGGGGGAAATAAATAGTAACACACGACGGACTGCCTGGTGGTTCTACATCCCTGTTGATTCTCGCTCACCTCGGACAAGAGACGACCGGACCGGCTCTGGTTTACCTTCCGACACGGATAGCCTGCAGTTAATATAGGAGACGGCATTCACAGCACACACCAAGGATTAGTCATCACTGTTCTGTTGTGCTTCTACTTCTTTGTTGAAGTGAGCATAGCTATAAACCGTTCTCTCACTGCAGACTTTAACTTAGCTGAGCTTATGAAAAGCAATGAACTTAATCGCACCATTTCTCTGCTAACTTGAAAAGTTGCTTACCCCATCCCCGTCATTTTCTTTGTGTCATCCTTATTCTATATCCCGCATGTAAGTCGCGTTTGGGTATAGTTACATTCTGAAATGACTCGTTACTAACTTGGTGCAATGTAGTATGTTATTGAACCTGCCTAGAACGGATGAGCCACATCTAACGTATCTTTATTGGGCTTACATAATTCGGTTGTATTTCGCGATCACTTCACGTGTTCCCCATTACAATGTTGTACTCATCATGACCTATGCTATTCTTGCTATCTTCTCAAGTGGAGTCTAGTATGGTGACATACCGAGACAGTGAGCTACGGCATCTTCCTCTTCATATTATTATTCGGCCGCGATTCGCATCACTACGTAACGTCCATGGTATTACTCATCAGACTATGCTATCTACATTCTGCTCCTTGAAATCGATTTGTAGATTACGTGACCCTAGCTTGACCGGCTGCCCAGTGCACGATGTCCGCTAAGCCCCAATCGGATGGGATTATTTCTGTGGTTCGAGTCTCTTGAAGGAGAGTAATCAATTCAGAAAGGTGAAACGAGCCCAAGGAGGAGGAGCCGGAAGCAATTCGTCGGGACCGGGAGATTTGTGGCGTTTCAGAAGATGAAACTCAAAGGTAACCTCGGCCTCAGATGTCGGAGAGGTGTTTACACACCAGGAAACATCGTTGTTACGAGAGCAATGGTGGCCAGTTGAACTGGTGCTCAAAATGCTCTACCCAACGTACAAATCGGCCCTGGTGATTGTGAATTGGTTCACCGCTGGTTTCACATACCGCTACGCTTAAAGTTTGTTTCTTGTCACCGGTGGATCGAATAAAAGAGGTGTCTGCGTAAGTTCCCTGAGGATGCAGCATGTTCCATCTCGATAGCACGTTGCGTCCACCAGGCTTCGCGATCTTTCCTGAGATGTTTGAGCTCAGCGTTGGAAGCTCTGCGCAATAAGTCATACTCAGCATCAGCAGGAACTGTCCGGCAGTCTTCCGTCAGTTGAAGAGACTGAGCGGAAATCCATCGGTTGAAGGTGAAAACGCAGATAACGCTATAGGACTTGCACGTTACATTGGATAGGTGTCCAATGTACCTCAACACCTAGGAGTGGAGGATTTCGAATGATAAGCTAACGAGTTCTGAAAGGCACTGAGATTAATCAGAGCGACTAGTTTAGCTACATCAAGCCGTTTCTGTCGACGCTGTTGGATACCACCAAAGCGGAGGACAACTTTGGCGCACACAAGTGCCTGATTAGACGTGAGATAGGTACTCCGAATTGATTTACAGCCTCGCCAACGGTAACTGTTGACGGTACGGTCAATCGGCGTCCACGTCCATCCAAACGTAGGGGGTCGCTAGGTGGCGCGAGGAGCGCCGAAAGTTTGTACTCGGAAGGACTAGGCCGTGATCAGCACAGAGCTGTAGGAGTTCTCCGTCCTAATAGTATCATAGCCATGCAGACCACCGTTCGTCAGCATCGAACCTACCAACCGATGTGTTTAAGTTCCCAGTGAGCACCAGGATATCCGTGCGGTGTTTCGTATGGAGAAAGTCGGAGAGTTGGTGGTAGAACTGCTTTTTAGCTGAGTCCGGGTTGCAATCCGTGGGAGCATACGACGCCACGACAAAAAAACAACGTTTGATAGGCTAATGGCTAGACAATCGTACTGAGTATTACAACTGAGTCACAGAGTCGGATATTTACTGGGATCCTATCAGACAACGCAGATTCTGTACGCGCCCTTAACGCAATCCCCACAGCGACCAAGCTCGCAGCTTCAGCAGTGGCGTCGTCGGATAATTGCAGTATGAACATATTGTGAAAGCAGGCAGAAGGTGATGTCAGTCGTAGGGTTGTGCTGCAAGCGGTTCTCAGCGAGGCAACATATGTCGACGGAGGGTTTCTAGAGTCCGAGCAAGGGCTGCCTGTAGTTGTGTCTTCATGAGCGTTCGGACATTAAAACCGACCAACTTGAATTGGGGATGAGAGGACTAGGAAGGTCTTGTCTTCGCGATTGTGTGGCACATAAACGGTCTTGAGCTGCTCATCGACACGATTAGAGCTGTCCCTCAATGTAGCACGTTATCGGAGACCCGTAATCAGAAGAGGATTACCAAGAGTGGATGAATTCGACAAACGTGGAACAACAATTGTAGCAAGTGGTGCGGTAGAGTATGGTATAGCGGTTCCGGTCGCCAGCATCTCGGCCGTGGAAAGCGAAGGCAGAAAGCTTAGATGAAGAGCAGCATTACTTAGGTTCTTGTTCATCTACTGCGTGGGTTGATTTGGTGTACCCACTTGGAGACCTGTATCATAAAGTCCCGACCCGCAAGCCAACGGAGCAATTAACCTATATGGCGAACCATCGGGAGTCGATAACACGACTGAGTAGTAGTGGTGAACTACTCAGGGCACCCAAACTGCCCAAGTATAGAGGCAGTCGTCAAAAAACGTTTCCGGAACGTTCGACCGACCGCAGAGTACAAGACCGTTGGTAACCATGTGGCTCATACGCCTTCTTAGTGCTCGGTAACAGTCCACAAAGAAACCGATGGCATTCCATTAAGCACTCACCCCCGGTTACAGAAGTGAGTGGTCAGTGATCCTATAGCCGGTTACGTTGGCTTTGACACAGTGCTGTACGAGTTTTCGTATTTAATGGAGAACCAGGTGATCAGTCCAGAACTTCTCATGGTCTGAGATGCTACCGCTGATTGTCTGCGACTGCGAACAGCCGAGATTTATTCACAGTTACCTTCGCAAGGAATGCCCTTCCCAATCCTCAACCTGGAGAAGCTCCGCCACGGGAGACATCAGTAAACTCACCCAGCGCTAGAGAATATCGCAAAATGTTTTCAGGTCTCTCATAAATCTGCAGCACTTGTTCTCTGCAAATTCCTTTGTTCGCGCAACTGAACTTGCCGAAAGGCTCGCAGTTGCAAACAAAATCGACTTTCTCAAAACATAAATCATTTACAGCTTCCAGTATACAATCTGATTAAGTTGCTATCGATAAACGGTATTTCTACTGCCGTTTTTGCACTATTTTCTAACAAGTACGAATAACAGCTTCATGTTCAGATAATCTTTTCATGAAAGGAATTCTTCGCGTTTGTAAACCACGTTTCAAGGACTCATATTTCACCCAGCGTTGCTTCCCGAAAAATGTGTATATGCTATTAGGTGTTTGGTTTCATAATGACGCCGATGACTGCACTTTTTCAAAATGGCAGCACTTTCAACTGTCCAAGTTTCCACGAAGAAGTATTTTACTCGCGATTATTCGCTGAAAACAAGACATTTGGTGTCTACTCTTTTTAGTGGCCATAGGGAGCGGTGCAGTAGACGGAAGCAGAAAATGAGAAAGGCATTGTGTTGGAAACAGTTAACATCGTACTGGAACACAACCAAAACAAGTAGTTAAGGGTCTCTGGTGAATCTACGGCTTAACAAAGGTGCAAGTGAACTTTATATACTTTGGTAATTTGAGATATCACATGCGTTTTGTAAATATAAATAAACAGCTTGCAGCAGCGGTTTTTAACTGCAGTTCTACGAGTGGCAGCCAAAGGTGCCGCAGATACCGACCGAAATCGCCTAAATCCAACGCTTACGTCAAACTTGTTCATGATTGGTACTCTGCACCCTTCGCTGTCTTGAGACGCCTGTGGCAATCTCCATACGAAAACATTAGACCTAATACGACGATGTGAAAACGGGTACACGAAATCTGAAGGAATTGCGAATTGCCAGTGAAAAACCAGTACCTGGATAAAAATGAGAAACGAGTAGCGAGATGCTAACTGTGAGTCCCAAACATCCTTAAAAATTGACAGCAGTGCATCTAAAATCGACAATTTGTAAAACAGCTTAGTCTTGGTTAGTGACATAAGAACAAAGGATCTACGAAAACAGTATATTCACTATTTGCGTTCGGCAGAAGGAGTCGGATTTATTACGCAAAAAACTATCCAACTGGCGAAGCAAATAGAATGGTCCGAAATCACATAGCAATGCTGCGCAGGTATTCATTGAAATATTCGATCGTTCTGCGCAGTCCTTCCCGTAGACCAACGATTGGTTCCCAATCTAGCTGGGCTTTAGCCAAGTTTATCGCGGGTCGGCGTCGTTGAGGATCATCAGTTACTTTCGGCTGATGAACGACGGTGCTGTTGCTCCCTGAAAATGTATTGAATGAACGGAACAAGTAGAAGTACTTATCTGCTGGCGTGTTTTATTGACTAAATTTCATCAGTCACAAAAAGAGAAAACTACAAATGAAGCACAAAGTAGACCTATATGGAGGAGGTCGGAGGATACGTTAGTAAATAAGTAAATCAATTCAAAAGCCGTGAAATGGAGAAAGCTAATCGTGCGAAAAAGCAACACTGATTTAGTGCAAAATCAGCTATGCGGATTAAAAGGGCACTTACGTCAGCGCGTTGAATCTTTCTAACTATTTAGATATGGATCCTACCGAGCGTGTGAAATACCATAACCCTTTCCCCATCGACTAGGTGTAATACACCCGGAGACCGCCTTTGTTGATGAAAACTTGAGCATCATTTATAAGATTTCAGGCATACTCCATCTATTCCTCAAGATCGTTATGGTGAACATACTCATTGATCAAAAGTTTCCATCAGTGCGAAAATGTGACATTTACCAGAATTAAACGTTTCTCTCACAGTCCCCAATAACTAGGTATAACATACCCTTGCACATTTCATAAGACAAAAAGGAAGAAAGATAACAGCGCGCATAAATTCAACTGGAAAACTGAGCACAGATGAATTTAAAGCAGTTCAAATTCAATTCAAATTTTTATTCGTGCCATTGCCAAATATATTAATCTGTTTCCAAGACGTACCATCGCAATGAGACTGGCGCGATGGTTTGTGTACCTCAGCGATCCTTTGAGCGGTGCTGGGTGGTGCTTCTAGCAGCCTCAAAATCACTCATACCAGATTGGTCAATGGTTAGAGGTCAGACGAAATCCGCTTATCGGTCCTCTAGGTCAGGGGTTGGACCGAGAGTGGCTCCTCATTCCTTGAAATAGATACTTGTAGCACACTGCCACAAACCCGGTGCTTTGCGGTCAGGTTTTTGAAATAAACGCTTTGGTTGAGAGCCCTAATCGTTCATCTGCTGGCTTGCCGAACAACCTCCTCGTGGTGCCAGCTGGGTGGTTCGGGATTTTCCCGTTCCAGCAAATGGTTCGGCGGCAGTGTTCCAGGACGTGGTGGGTTTCCGCCTGGCAAGCGTACTCCCTACAAAAAAACCACATATGTGCGTTTAACAACACTGTGACGTGGCGGACGTGACTCACCACTAAATAAAGTCACTGCGCCTTGCTTCATCCTGGCGAAGCATTGTATTCCAGCAACTTTGTGCTGTAATTCTGGGGAGCATTGTGCCCCTGTTTGACAAAGGAACAAACGAAAGGCGTATGAACTGAGCAATCAGTCACCGGCTCCCAATGGGCGCGATTCCCTGAATTCGCTCCGCTGCATTGCGGGCAGGCTATTCAGCCAAAGGCTCGGGGTGGTGTCCCCTAAGTCAACACCCTACTTCGGCTTGGGCAAGCGGGTAGTATCTCGCCCTCTGACGAAACCATGGACTTTGATGTGTTGTGCTTTCTTTTACTATTTCTGTACCTTGTTTCGAGTTCCATAGTTTCCGATGGCTCAGTATATATATATATATATATATATATATATATATATATATATATATATATATGCATGTACAACAAGATCGGTACCGGCGTTGTTTGAGGTGGTGCAAAAATGCCAGTCAGTGAGATTATTTGCATAAGACCAATATTTACAATTGAGCTCAAAATGCAATGCATGAAAAACCGATTACACCTTACCCTTACGTGCATATGAACAGTAAGTCAAATGCTCTATTTTGTATATTTGCCGTGGCATTTTCACGAATTCAATTTAGGACATCGCAAAGTCAAATTCCGCAAGACAAATGATCGCAGCAAAGAACAGCGTTGGTTGAGAACCGGTTTATCAAGAAAGCAACTAATCAAAGTAGCCTCATTGTCCTTCAACCGTTGATAATCAACCGGACAACACTTTCAGTACGGGCATGAGTGGCTCGATGTGCAGTGGGCGGAGTGCTCAGTTGCTGCTTTCATGGGTAGTGTCACAGTGTGGAAGAAGTGATTCATATACTGCACACAGTATATGGGACCTCATATTCAAAAAGAACATGCAGCTCGGAGACAAAGAATAGGAAAAAGGTATGCGCGAGTCGGAGGAAAAAACATGTCATAATGCCACTTGCAAATCGGCAAACACAGGTAGGTGGTGCGGGGATCTTGGTGATAGATGAAGTATAGAACAACAGTATGGTCCGGATGTGTAGCTGGTAAACGTGTTGAACAGAGTCTCGATTGAAGTGGCACAAGTGTTACACAAATATAAGAGGGCTTGGGAGAAGCAAAAAGGTAGTTCGTCAGAAGGAACAGACAAGTCATCAATCTATCAGCTACATGTCGGCCAAATAAAGGCAGCGGTGAAGATGGACGGAGCAACAGGAACAGGAATAAGACGGAGTGTGACGGATGGAGCTTAACAACCAACAAAATGTGCCACAAAGTAAAGTAAAGAAACTGTTCTACGCGCCTATGAAGATAACACAAACATGCGGAAGGGATGATTCGTGACTGACACGTAAGATAAAAAGGCAACTAATAAATTGCCGAACAAATAACAGTCAGGGTACAATCGCGAAGGACATCAGGCATATCTAGTTCAGGGATGGGTGGTAAACTGATGACCATGATTTACTAAACCAAAGCGCATGAGTTATGAAGAATGATGGAAATGTCGTCTGGTAATGTAGACCTAAACGACAATATAGACCTAACTGTGGACGACAGTGTGACGAAAATTATGACAGATGAGAATATATATATATATATATATATATATATATATATATATATATATATATATATATATCCTGACAATCAAGAGATATAAAATATAAGCAACGTGGGGGTAACGACATACCTATAAGCTCCCGCACGACGTCGGCGAGTTCCAAGACAGTAAACTCGTCCGGATTTCCTAAGTTGATGGGGTAGGAGTAATTTGAGGCCATCAGGCGGACCAAGCCCTCTACCAGATCAGATACGTACTGGAAAGACCGAGTTTGATTTCCCGTGCCATAAACCTAAAATCAGAAATTTATAACTGGTGAAAGTAGTTTGCAACAACGAAAAACCATGGGAGTATTAGAGTGGAGCTGAACTAATAAAGTGGCGTATTTAAGATGTATGCATCTACAGTGAAAGCATGACGCGTCGGCAGGCACTCCAAAGTTGTGAACTAAACGTGTAGCGTGGGACCTGATGGACCAGGGTAACTTGTGAAAAGTTGTCTCCAGCGTGGAAGGAACGAATTTTTTCATTTGCGTGAAGATGCACAAACGCAAGCGTAACATAAATCACATTTAGTGAAACAATGAAAATCGTGAAGAAGTTAACTACTGGCAAAGGTGTTAAAAGGTCCTTAGTGAAATTCAGGGCAGACGCATACTACCTCCAAGTAGCATCACCAACTTCTCCACAGACAATTCATCCAATAGAAATGCATCCACACCCGAACAGAAAGTTATCCCTCTGTCAATCATCCCAGTGACTGATCGCAAAGCAAACGTGCTGCTCTCTGTCAGTTTCACATCCTCATCTTCATCTAGCGCAGTCATCATGGTTGGCGGCATCCGGTTTCGGATGTGCTTGTCACTGGCCAGCCACAGGACGCCTGCGCCTACAGAGGGACTACAAGTGGCTTGCGCTGCACCACCCACAGCTCCAACCACACACCCATATCCAGTGTAAACCCGAAGGAATAAGACCGGGAGGCATGCGGATGGAAGCCAGGTTTCATCAACGGAGCCGGCCCACACTCCTTCACAGGCAAACACAAGCACGCTGTATTTGGGGAATCAAGTGCACACAAGGCGGTGGCTGGACCGTAGTCCGCTCCACACTGAGTGCATGGAACCACTCTTTGATCCTAACACGGCCACAAGGACCGTGCACCCCGTCCCCTCCAGCAACGACCAATTGTCTCCTGGAGCCAGTATGGACGAGGTAGTGGGTAATAGACAGCTAGGCACCTTGTCAACATGCACATCAAGCGCAGCCACACCTGGGATGTCAAGCAACAGCCAATCACCTGGAATGACAAGAGGAAATAAAACAGATCCAATAATGCATACAGATACGGTGGCATAACTCTAAGCTAAATAAGCATATGAAGTAAGTTGGTTAGCAACGAATCCGCGATAAGGAAAACTGTCCACAAGTTAGTTAAAAATGCTACAAACCGCAACAAACATACCGGAGATAAGCGCAATAATGTAAGCAACGTGGCCAGTTCATAGAAAAGTATTTAGGTGGGCAGAACAAACCAAATAAAGTGGAATGAAATTTAGCCAGCTTAAAAAGACCTAGTTTAAGTGTAAGTTGGTTTAGCCCAACTGCGATGAAGAAGCATCAAGAATGCAAAATCAGCTTAGTCATAATACACTCAATGGAATCGGATTAACTCACCGTGTTCAGTGGACATATGTTTACGGAATTATTTCCAACCGAGTGTTTTGTGACTTCCAATTTATTTTGACAGACTTTGCGCTTATATATAGATGCGCCACCTCATTGCTTTTAATAGGTTTCACTGCTGTGATACAGCGATAGATCAAGCATTCTGTGCGTTATCTTGTAGTCCTAGAATTACTCACACATGATCATTTTTAACTGCAATTGCATTCGCCCATCGCCGGCAAATGGCCGCTGACATCCACTCGCTACAAGCCAATTCGACCGGATTTAACTAACCACAAGTATGGCGAGCAAAAATATGCACCAAGAATCAGAAGAGGCATCAATTTTGCAAAGTGTGTTATGCGTTTCACTCCAGGTGCGGTGATACAAGTCAAGTAGAATGTAAGAGATGAAGCTGACTGATGCGCCCAGATTTTGCCAAACATGGAGAGCAATTCCAATGATCAATTGTATAGTAACGCTGGCGAAAAAATGCGAAAAACTGAGTGAAACTACCCAGAAGATGATGAGCTTTGTTATTAGAATCTAACAAAGCCGACCTTGCTCTACAGCAGCCCTCAGAGCTCTGTCCCTAAGTCGACGGGTAAAGTCAGTTTTGTTAACCGCCCAATGGCATCTGCGCCACCTACTCTGACATTTACTAACCCTTTAAGTGGACAAGCCAAATCCGGCGTGACACACACACATGGCTGGCAGCATCTGGTTTCGGATTTTCCTGTCACTGTGGTCAGCCACAGGACGCCTGCGCCTACAGAGGGACTACAAGTGGCTTGCGCTGCACCACCCACAGCTCCATTCACACACCCCATATCCAGTGTAAACCCGAGGGAATAAGACCGGGAGTCATGCGGATGGAAGCCAGGTTTCATCAACGGAGCCGGCCCACACTCCTTCACAGGCAAACACAGGCACACTGTATTTGGGAAATCAAGTACACACAAGGCGGTGTCTGGACCGTAGTCCGCTCCACACTGACTGCATGGAACCACTCTTCGAGCTTAGCACGACCACAAGGACCGTGCACCCCGTCCCCTCCAGCAACGACCAACTGTCTCCTGGAGCCAGTATGGACGAGGTAGTGGGTAATAGACAGGTAGGCACCTTGTCAACATGCACATCAAGCGATCATGTAACACTCTTATTCAACTACACCTGTTATGCAGAGTATTCCGCAGTACACGCCGATGACTCTCAGTGTATTACCAATTGCGCCGTTTTGGCCACACTCATTAATGCAACTGACTGGTCCTTTCTAGCCGATGTCGCCTGGTGGGATTTTGTGCTATGAATTCAACAAGTAGCAGCCAATGCTCCGAGAAACATGCCCCCGCGCGCGATGAGAATAATGCCATTCATATGCGGCAGGATGCAGAAGTGTATGGTCACAAGAGATTCATCGGTAAAAATACAAGGAGCCACCTGGTGCTGAAACATGGTAAGTCTACACTATCCAGCGGAATTATTGCGTGAACCTGGTACGCGAAGATAAGCTTAAACATCAACAAGATCTAGCCGATAAATTCTCTCTAAACTCCAAACTTCGTAAAGTGCGGCGAGGTTAACCTGCCCTCCGCAAGCCGAGTGGACAAGCACAAACTACGACTTCGTCGCCTATGCGGTCCATGAAAGTTATACCACCAACAGGACTTAGTCATATCTCGTTTGCCGCTACAGATGAACTTAAAGGGCTAAATTCCTTGCGACCATATCTCTCCTGGTGCTGGCAGTATGCGACCAAAGGCGCTGAAGTTAGCTGCATTGAATTTGGCGGATCCAATCTATAGGTTCTTCTAACAATGTCTCGACGAGATCTGTGTTCCAACAATGTGGGAGCACGGAGTCGTCATTCACACTCAGAGGAATCCGTGCAGATCCAGCCAACTATCGCCCGATAACTCTCCTGCCGGTGCTATCCAAAGTCATGGAGTCTATTATTGCCGAGGCGCTCATGAATTACTTGGAGGCATGCAAAATCATAGCACCAGAACAGCATGGATTTCGCCAGAACCGGTCTTGCACCACAAACCTGCTGCTTGCTCGCTCCAGTTGGACTGAAATCGTTGACAGCGGTGTGGGAGTTGACGCAGTCTATCTGGACTTCTCAAAGGCGTTCGACCGTCTGAACCACCGCATCCTCATTCACAAGCTTCAGAGCTGTGGAATTGGTAACCCAATTCTCGGTTGGATAGGTAACTTTCTGATTCAACGACATCTGAATGTGAGAGTTCGCAGCGCCATCTCTGACCCTATCGATGTTCAGTGCGGAGTGCCACAGGGTTCAGTACTTGGTCCACGCCTATTCCTGATTTACATAAACGATCTTGCAAGAGTGATCACTTCCAATTTCTTACTCTTCGCTGATGATCTCAAGATATGGCGGACCATCAAAAACAACGAGTGACCATGTAGCGCTTCAGGATGAACTTGATAGGGTATACGAATGGGCGACACAGAGCCTGTCTCATTTCAACGCCACCAAGTGTAAGACATTGAGCATACGCCATCAATCCACTTGCGAGTACAGGCTGGGGGATCAAGCTTTGCAGCGTGCTGCTACTGAATGCGATCTAGGTGTGATAGTACAAGAGGATCTTGGCTGTTCACCTCAGGCCGAGAAGGCGTTCAAAAAGCCAACCAACACCTTGGCCTTTTGCGGAGAGCGTTCGGGCGTTTTGACCCTTCAATCTTCTCTCAGATGCTCAATGCCTACATTAGGCCCCATTCAGAATACGCCATTCACGCCTGGCAGCCCTGGCACAAGCACGACCTCACCGCACTTGAACTGCCACAACGAAGGGCGACCAAGAACGTAAAGGGTCTGTTTCATCTCCCTTACCAACTGAGGTTGAAAACCCTTGGGGTCTACAGTGGACAATATCGACGCCTGCGTGGCGATTTGATAATGACATATTTGATCCTAAGAAATCCAAACCATGCTTGTAGTCATCTTCTGAAGCTGAATCACAATACCACTCTGAGAAGTCACCAGCTATAGCCAGTTGGATTGTCACCGGAATTTGTTTTCATTTCGCCAGTGCCAACCATGGAATGCTCTCCCCACATAGGTTATTTCTTCCCACACACTGACGGTATTCAGAAAACGTCTCGACGATGCACTCATACACTTACATTGAGCCATATAATCCTGTATATTCAGACGTCAATTAAGCCCTACAAAGCAACGTGCGAATTTTCACATTCTGCACATAATTTGTTAAACGCTACTACCGTAGAAGCTGGATTTAGGTGTCTCGTCGGCCCAAAAAAGCTGCAAAAGTGTAACTTTTTCTCACGTATTACGTAAACGATAGCCACTCCCGATATTGCTGTGTGCGCACATGTAATTCTCATTTCAAGCTACCGTTACACACCAGTGTAGATAAATCCGTAGTCACTTAAAGCGACGATTCACTTACTTTTGAACAATGTTTTCTTACCCCAACCACTCTACGGGACTTGTTAAACACCTGCTTTTTTACCCGTGATAAATTTTGTTCACCGTTCATACATATTCATCTAGTTCAAAGGTCAGCAAACATTTTCGCAGTGTGCCGGATGACTAGAAAATATGACTAGCGCGGGCCGGATGGATGACAAAACAATT